TTCGAAAGGTGGAACCATTGGTTACTTGTGTTTACGTCTACGTGTCACTATGTGACCATGAGTGCTCTGCTTTGTGCTTTTGCACACTCTGTGTTCTGCACACTTTGTGTTCTTGCACACTGTACTGTCACCATACCTACATCTCAACCTTCTATCGCACATGTGAACTTGCCTGGAGAAGATTACCGGGTTCGAGTGAGCTTGGAGTTCCCGGTTACCGGTTACTTGTTACTAGTGACGATAGTTCTGTGAAGATTTCAAGATGTCGAGTTCCGATCGACGTGAAGGAGACCGTGGCAACTATGACCGAGGAGGAGATGAAGACCGAGGGAATCAAGAGCGTCGGGCGTACAGACCGGTTACATGCTTTAACTGCGATGAACAAGGTCACTACTTGAACCAATGTCCACATCGAGATCACCGTCCTTACCGACCGTCTACGTCTACGGACTCAAGACGATCGTGCTCACCGAGGACGTTCAAGACCAGAAGACGTTCGCCCCCTCACGGGGAATCAGAGCTACGGGCGAAGGTGGCGGAGCTGTCAGTGGGGGTTGCCTCGATCAAAGAGCACTTTGACGAAGTGCGCGCTAAGAAAGAGGTGAAAGCTCGTAAGAAATGGGAGAAGGAGCAACTGAAAGAGGAAGCTAGGAGAAGGGAAGAAGAAGAGGAGGCGCAGAGAGCGGAGCAACTAGCCAAACAAGCAGCAAATAAGAAAAAGGAGGAGAAGGCCAAGAAGGAAGCCTTATTGAGAGCAGAGATGAAGAAAGACGTAACTCTTCATGTTGCGCTTATGATGAGTGAGATTAAAGACGATTGGCTGCACCAGTGGAAGACCTCGGTATTACCGGCGATCGCAGGCAGCGTTAAGGATATCAAGGGCAAGAAGAAAGTGGAGTTCGTTTCTGAGGAAGACGACGAGTCGGGCTATAACACAGAGGAGAGCGAAACAAGCGTTACACAGGAGTTGAGTGAAAAGACGGAGAGGTTGTGCCTTTCTGAGAAACGTAAGAGAGAGGAGGACGTGAGGATGGAGGATAGCCCTCCGATGGAACAGCCAGCCAAACAAACACCACGACGACAAGCACTGAAGCCTAGCGCAGCCAATCCAAGGGTGACTAGATCAAGGAGTAAAGCGAAAGGACTGCGTTCAGTGATTCCTGCGAAGGCACGTACCCCCGTGAAGACACCGTTATCGAAGTTGAGTAAGACAAAGAAGGGGTCACCAAGCGGCAGGTTGACACCGGCGAGTAAGGTGTTAGCTCGATTGAAATTTAGGGACGCCATCATCAAAGAGATTAAAGAATGTAACGCAAACGAATTGCAGCGCATGTGCAGGGAAGAAGGATTACATTACGAGGGGAAGCTAGACGCTATCTTCGACTTGGCCGAGCATCGAGCGAAGCAACATTTTGGACGTGAGGGTGATATTGAGGGGGAGGTCGTGAGACTGACTGATCTGGGAGAAGCCGAGGCCGAAGTCTCCGAAGAAACTGAAGGGTGATGTGGCATCGCCCTGACACGTTGGTGGGAATTATGTAGGTATATCACGCACGTTCGATGTTCCCTAGGCTGTACGAACAGTAAATTGGAAGAGTTGCTACGGTTAGTAGTAATCTTGCTAGCGTTGTGCAATCAAGTTCGTTGGCTTAAACGGTATGTTGACACATGGTTGCATTTGTATGAGGTGCATGGTATTGGCTTCGTGAAGTTGACGAACGTTGTATATGTAGCCATTTCCCCGTATTGTAAGTTGTGCTATATTGGGAAAACGACTCGCACTTGTACTACTAGATGGCGGGAACATTTGTACGTAGTTAAGAAGAAAACGCAGTCACAATTTCACCGTTGGATTGCAACCTTTGGAGGTGGTAACTACTTGCTAATCCCGATTGACATTTTCGATGGTAAGGACCTGTTGAAGTTAGAGAGTCTGTATATCAGTCGTTGGTCGTCGTTTTTGAATACGATCGGGACCAAGCCAGTAAAGAAAGGGAGGAAATGTAAACCGGGAAAGAGGGAAACGAATAGGAAAAAGGGTAAGTCTGACTTTTTGTCGAGTGGACATGTTAGACCTATCCGTTTCTTCTTGTGTGAGAACGATGTGGACTTCCTTGATTTACATACATTTCTGGATAGTTGTCTTGACAGTGGGAATCGACCACGAAAGATACGCTCGGAGGGAGGTACCGACTGGACCCCGAACTGGAAGACGATCCTAAAAACCTCTGGCGAGAGTAAAGTTAAATATCTAACCGGTCGCTGGCTTTAAAAGATTGTAAAAGCCTGTTCAAAGCGGGGGGGAACTTTGAGATCGTGCATGTTACCAAGTGGCAGTCGAAATGTAAGTACCTAAAGAAGGTGTTGGTGGGGATTTTAAGGAACCCTCACAAGTTGAAGGATCTATATAAATGAGGGATGAAAGCAATTTTAAGGATTTATCGAGTGGTGAAAGATTTCTGCAAGAAATCAACCAGGAAGTATTTACGAAGGTTGTTATCACGTTGCTTTCGTGATCGTTTTCAATTGAGTCTGGCTGCTGATCTTACGTTCAGAATCAAGTTTGATGACCGTGTAGTCGTTTCGGAATTTCGGAAGGTGGTTAATGACCTGCTGATGGATTGTAATCTCCCGACATGCTGTGTACTTTGTACGCGCAGGAAAGTTCGCATAGTGGGAACTAAGAATCCTACAGTTGCTGATCTACTGCACGACCATAGACGTTTCTCAACTCATGGTGTGCTTACCTGTACGTGTGCAGGTTTGGATTTCCCGCGCGTGAACGGGCATGTCAAGTTTCGACTCAGTGAGGTAGCAGGTTTGCACCCACTGTTGTCTAATGCTAATAATGTGCCCAAAGTAGAGAGGACAGATAGACTGGGTTTGCTACGCGAGGAATTGACTGCAGGGTTTCTTGATTGGAAGAATCTGGATGGAATTATCCAACACTGTGCCAAAGCTGATTTGTCATTCTGTTTGACCCTAGGGTCTGTCGCTTCGTCCAGCCTGTCAATGTCTGATGTGCAGGCTATCAAAGTGCAACTGAAGGATTTGGTTCTCTCTCCCGTGGATAGAAATCCCGAGGAATCTGTGATGATGTGTCCGGTCACGTACCACGACGCCATGATGCTTACATTTGTTTGTAACCCCGGATACCGAATTGTGAATCTCCCCCAGGATCAGGTCTTGCGAGAAATTCGCGAAGACACCCAAAGACGGGGGATCGGCAAATCGGTACACTGGGATACTAAGGAGACGTTTGGCGCGGCTTACGTGATTCCTAAGCAGAAAGACTTGGATCATTTTAGACCTATTTGTCCGTCTTTCAAAGAACCTATGGTGAAATCAGCTCGACTGATGAGCAAAGCTCTGAATCACCTTATGAATAACTTGCCAAAAAATTGGCATTTTAACCTCCGTGCTGTTTCAGATTTGACTGTTCGTCTCGAAGGGATCAACAAGAAACTGTGTAAACTACCTGGTGGAAGGAAGATTATAACGCACTCCTTCGATATCAAGGAGATGTTTAGCAAATTGCCTCACGAGGCAATTTTGCAAGCAGTCGATTGGATTGTGGATCATCATGTGTCGAAGGGGCATGACTTTGTTCGGGTTAACACCCGGGGCAAAGGGACGACGTTCGCTGAGACTACAGGAGCGGATCACTGGAGGAAGATCGATTTGGGAGTAATCAAAAAGTACGTGTACTTGGAAATGGAACACACCTATTTTTATGCGATCTGGGTGTCCGAATGGGTAAAAGTATGAGCCCACCGATCGCTTGCATAATGTGTGCTTACGCAGAGTACCAGATGACCTGTTTCACTTGGACGTGACTGCCGTAGCTTTGGTGCTCTAAGGCTGATTGACGATGTTCTGCTGGTCATCTCCAGCCGTGGCGAAGCTACTTATCAACGAATTGTTGATGCTTTGGCCGAATGCTACCCTGACGGTTTGGTTCTGAAGCAAACTGATGATGGATCCAGTACCACTGAATTCTTGGGTTGCCAGATTCGAAATGAGCAATCTTATCCTTTTATTGGCTGCATGCAACTCTTGAGGAATGAGAATAGTATATGGGTCCAAGAAAAACTGCCTATCCAGAATGGGCAGTCTTATCATTCGTGGGGGAGTAAGAAACAAAAGAGTGTAGTAATTGGTAGTCACCTTCACCGAATTGAGCGTAACACCTCTATTCGATCTGAGACCCCAGGCCGGGTGCTGGGATTACAGCAGGAACTGGTAAAGAAGAACTTCCCTTTGAGATCCGTGAACCGGGTGTTTCACAGATTTGGCAGTCAGCGGGATGGACTGTGGAGACGGACAATCGACTTTGTGTGCGATGATTAGTTAGGTGCGTTGATGAATTGTGCAATCGAACATGATGTGATGAGTAGTGTAGGTGATTAGTTAGGTGCGTTGATGAATTGTGCAATCGAACATGATGTGATGAGTA